TTTCCATGAGCAACACATCTCCAGTTCTTCATCACATCCTCGCATAAACATTCCTTCTGCGTATAGGGGCGGGTATAGAGCTCGGAGCTCTAATCGATATCATCCATGTAAGTAGTCCTTTTAATTTAGCATTGCTATATGACATCAACCGACGTTGTTACAGATACACCTAAAAAACTAACATTGAATCCAAGCGAAATATCCAAATTCGAGCCTTATCGACACTCGCTTCTTGCACCGGCAATTGCGACATGGGAAGTGGCTCTTGCTGCCGTCGATGTCGGTAAGGCGCCACCAACGACGACGTGGAAATATCTTGTACCCGAAGCACGACTATTGGTATCGCCAGAAAGTCCCGACCGTCAGCGTCGACACATATGCAACTGGTTGCGCGTCCGGGTCCAGTGGCTATACTCGATCACTCATCCAACATACGACGTTGGCCCGCTCACTTCCTCCCAGTGGCGCGAATATCTCAACACTTCACCTTTCACCCAGGATAAATTGGCTTCCTCTGGCAAAGCGGTTGAGCGGAACAGACAGGTCGACGGAATCTTTCGACGGGTGTTTCGAGGCAAAGTACCAGGATCGGACATCCCTGCTATCTGGAACGAGGTCAATGTGGAGTTTATTACCGGCCCGCTATGGTCAACCGTCTGCCGCGAAGTCACTTGGGAGGTTGCAGAGATCGCCTTCCGCTTGGAACTGATGCGTCTGGATAGGTATCTTGTACCAAATACTGGGGATCCCATTGCTGATCGAATGCGCATCAACCAAATCAATGCGGTCTTCCCAGCCAGTAGAGGCATCCTCATGAAACGCTTGCCTACCAGGGCAGATGGTTTGGCCACCATTCACCGTGGAGACTGGGCACCTTACGTCGAATCGCTGCGCATACTCATCTCCAGTTGGCCCAAATGTCCATTAACTATCAAAAACGCGTCACCATTCACTGGCTCCCTCCCTTACAACCTCTACGATGAGCAGGAGAGGCGACTTTTCACCTTTTACTGCCAAACCTTCTATAGCATCGCCGGTCGTGCTGCATCCATCCCCCGCCACCTCTTTCCTCCGAGCGATAGTAGTAGAGCTGCCGCAATGTAAGTTTACTTAAATTATAATGCTAATTTGGTGTCCAGATTGGTACGTGTGTGTCTGTACGAAGCTTCAACACGATGTTGTCGCTGGTATAAAAGGCGATCTCGGCGTTTCCAGCGTTTCCAACTCATAACTCTCGCTTCCACTACCACTGTGACCTTCCTCCTCTTGTCGACACCAGCATCAAGCTCCCTCTATGCCTCATATACGCGTCATCTGGGCCAACCGCAATCTATACAAGCGTAACCGGAACCTCAAAGACAGAATGCAACAATATATTCACAGGTGTTTTGAGGTCGCGGTGGCAGAGGTGTTAGGCGGGAGGAAAGCGGTCATCCGGTGTGTGCCATATACTCTACATCTACATTATGATGATCTGACATTCCTGTGCTACTTCATTAGCGGTGGTGTCCATCGCTCCAGGGGGGATCGACGTTGGCATTGGACTGTGCGTTTCAAACCTCGTCGCCTGAAGATTCCTACGGTGCACATACTGGCTCCAGGTTGGGCTTTGCCGAGGAAGCCAAGTAAGTTCTTAATTCTCAATGTAACTCGCACTTATTCACCTTTCAAGAAGAGCGATTTAGAGCTAGTGCGCGGTCCCTCAAAACATTCGGTCGACAATTTTAGGCCTTGCCAGGGTCGATGCAAATCCCACCTGGTGCATGCCTGGCATACCCCGCTGCTTGTAACGCAGCCCTACAATTCGACTCTCATTTGCTTCTAGGATATCCTTTACTATTACCGTATACTGTACATACCCCTACTCTAGCGTCTCTAGGACCTTGAAATATGATATGTGATGTCATGTTGGTTTGGTTTGGTTCGGTTCATATTCGCCCAGACTAGGTCCCACGCTGCACGTGGAAGCGCTTATTTTAACGGATCAACCCGCGTCAGACGAAAGCTGGCTTCAATTTTCGGACGGCAGGGACCATGCAAGCAAGGTAACTGTGTTACTTACGAGGCGCTCAAAAGGCGCTAATCTTGGGCGTTTATAATTACTAACCGTTATTAACCTCAATTTTTTACCTTACCCTACGGCCTGTGGTTATTAACATATGTTACTTACCGGCCAGGTATTTCTTCCCGAACACTAGTCTCGTTTACACGTGGCGCGACTCATTAGGCCTACGGCCGCCGCTCATCTGAGTCGCTACTTGCCCTGCTATCATTAGCTACTCACTAAACCTGTCGGTGGCGAATCACTGGTACTGGCACTGAAGCAATAAGTAAACAGACGTCTTGATCATAGTTAACTTTGAAACTAAACGCAGGAAACTCCGCTATAATTGTGGTGCCAACAGTCAACCGCACGAATAACGCTACAGGCATGACAAAGGACAAAGAACGAGGACAAAGAACGGGTAAGTCGTTGTCAACAACCTTGTTCGAAGCTGGCCGTGGCCTTTACAAGTGCTGTGGCGATACGGAATGTAAAGCCTCTTGTCAAGTGCCTGCGGCTTTGCGGTATGCACAGGTTCCCGTGGAATTCTCGAAGCAGCAGTGGCCGATACCGTTTCCCTATATCAGACGACGCTAACGCAAGGATTCTGCTAGTGCTAGTAACCTCCTCTACACACTTCTGAAAGTCTCTTAAGCTGTGGGTCCTCTTAATTTCATATGAGCACCATACTGACAATAGCTACGATTTAAACAGACTAGTCCACCTCGCGTTCTAATCATTATGGATTCGCCACTAAAGTTTCCCCCAGAAATAACCTCGCAGAATGTCCCCCTACTGGTTGCTCCATTCTTGACGGACAAGGATGTTATAGCTTTCGTATGCACCAGTCGCACCGTATTCGGTCTATGTCTCCCGTACCTGCTCGATCGGCGCCCACCCGTCAATCACCTCATGGATCTGGAGTCGCTGTACAACTTCCTGAACGTCGATCCAGATCTTACCTATCCCGCGCTCGGCAAGCTCGTACTGAACCTCCTAGAGAGCTCGTTTGCTAACCTCCACACGCGTCTCATCGTCGACATCCTCACACGCGCGACGAACCTGCGAAAGCTCTACCTTCCTACGTTTCTCCTGTCTCGCGATTCCGCTATTGGCGTGGCGTTGGAGGGCCTGACCGGACTCCAGCGTCTCGAGCTCATGGGCGAACCCTACGTTGCTATGAGGCTCTTCGAAAAGTCCCCTCTGACGTCTGTTCACTTGGATGCCGGCGAATTTGGCTTCCCGCAGAAACAACTTGAGTCGTTGCCGTGTCTGGTGCCGTTTGGTCAAACACTTACCGAGGTCGATCTCCTATTCGGATCGCTGATGACCCCCTGTGGCACTTCTTGCCCTCTGGTCACAACTGTCTCGTGCTCGCCGTGTGACGCGGTCCTCCTTCAAGCCTTGGTCCCGTCTTTCCCAAACCTGGAAGTACTCTGCATCGAGCACCAGCTTTGGGGTACCTCGAACCCGAATACAAGTACGGATCTGAGTATGCTCCGGCAAGTCAACAAAGAATTTGCGAGTGTGCACGGTTGCTGGATGTCTCTCGCTTGCGTTGTGGTCGATCTCGCTGCTCTTTACGCTCTCGGTCTGCGCTGCAGGGTCGAGTCCCTGACCATCACGTCATCGCTAACTCTGTCCCAAATCTCTGGCGAGTGTTCCATGCTACGGCCTATGCTAAAACCTCTCTTCCTCAAACATCTCCGCCTTTGCTCTATCACTGACCCTGCGGACCTAAACAAACTTCTCCGCGGAGATGTGGCTCAGCAGCTAGAGCGTCTTGACATCACGGTCGATCTTGCGCAGCTCGACTCCTTCGAACTCGAAGCGACTGTGGTAAGCATGTTATTCGCACGAACTCATTCTCAGTGATCTAATCAGCTACTTCGCAGTACGGTCTATCCCGCTCGTTAAGCAGCACCGATATCAAGGCACTCGACTACAAAATCATCGAAACTCACAGCGCTTGGGGGCTCCTCAGTGCGCCAGACAAAGCGACGCATGACTTCATGGACACAATAGATGTCAGCGAGCTAGCAAAACGCGTGATAGAGGACGTACCGAGCCTGTCGTTCCTCACGATCACCGTGGGCTCCACTTCGAGCCGCCCTGAGCGGAGAATGTATGGTATCGTCGAAAGCACCGACTCGGAGGGCAAGCGACATTTGCAAGAGTACGCGCAGGACAATACCCATGCAATCAGACTCTTTGAAAGAATATACTTGCCACCGCAGACCCAGGTAAGCCCTGTTGGTGCCGCATAAGTCCGACTTCTGATCGCTCTCTTATAGAAATTGTATCGCAAGCGGCAGTTCCCACCGAACTGATGTGCTCGTATCAAGTGCGAGATGTGAACAAGGATTCGCTATACTGGGGTCACGGTCTTTGATTTCGTCGCCCTTCATGTATTTCCGCTAGAACGCTTCTTGCGTCAGTCCATGGATGAAACTTTGCTTTATGTCGGAATGATTGTGCGTGAGTTGTGTGACACGGCATAATGTGATCGGCTTCAATAGCAACCGCTCCGTTTCTTGCAGTCGTACCATTGTTGTCTCCATCTAATTTCGAAGACAACTTCAAACAAAAGTGACCATATGATCCCGTGTAACAGTCCGCGTTAGAGCATGATGAAGGAGCAAACTCTGTAGTTACTACCGCCAAGCGAACACTCGTCAATATTTAAGTGTCGATACACCGTCATAGACGACAGGTCGGTCTTCCCGGCATACGGTCATTCATTCTACGAACCTTCACACAGTGAAACCATGTCCTGACGCCTGAGAAATAGCATGAGAATAAACCATATACTTCTCAGAGCGTCCCCTAACATAATTTTATAACCCGTTGCCGCTTGCTCGTAGTGTACATCGTGCAAGATCGCTGTACTCTCTCACAAGTTACTCTGGCACAAAAAAGCGCAAAAGAAAACGAAGCTAGCCTTGAAGCATTCGAGTGACCACCGCAGGGGTCGAACCTGCAATCTCCTGATTGCGACATGAAATCGTAGTCAGACGCGATGCCATTTCGCCAGGCGGCCATGAAAAGAGAGGAAGATTGCAAGAATCAATCCTTTCACCGAGATTCTGTGAACAACGCTCTTTGCGCTTGCACGGTTCTCCTTAAACGGTACTGGTACGTGTATTATGTAATATTACATGTATCCAAGGTATCATTTTCTGCCACTGCATCGTATATGTCCGTAAATGCCATGAAAACGATTCGAATCAACGCGTATACATCGGCGCTTCTTGCCTCTGTCGCGATCGAATATTTTGATTGACAGCCGGGCGCTAGACGTGCTTAGCCTCAGGCTGGCGCGCTCGAAGCTCAGCGCTCAGCGCTCAGCGCTCAGGTTCGAGTCCTGCTGACACCGTTCTTCTTTGGCAGAGCGATTCGTATACATCGGACACACGGAGTGTATATTCAGAAGTAAATCAGCTCATTGACTTGAGATAAGGCTCTTGGATTCGTCTGTCAGGTATGTGAGGTCTCGTGTCCGCTACTCCACGGTCCGCGGCGTCCTCAGTTACGTAGAATGACTTGATATGTTCATTCTCTTCCCATATCTCATGGGATGTAGAATTCCTTCATGATTACAAGAATAGGCTGATGAGGGGGAATTTGGTCACAGCTATGGACACATCATCGCGCCCACGCCACATCCACTTGCCAAGAACGAACCTACTGCACCCCCATTTGAGATTGACCGTCGCACAATTTGTATCCAGAAATGATTACATTACAGTACTAGTACTTGAATTGACGTGTAATTGTATACCAGAAATAGTACGTCATGCAAGGAGCGTACACTATGCACAGGGACGTATCGTATCGATACAATTGCCCAAAGCGATGCGGCGGCGCTCTACTTGTACAATAATAGCGTCCATGAACCCAAACTGCGATCTGTAAAGCGTGAAATGGGCGACGTGGAGATGGCGAAATTTAGAAACGTTGCGTGTCGTGAAATTATGCTCGATACACGAGCGGGGGTGAGAAGTCGGTTATTTTGGGATGATAGATATGGCCACACAAGGTGACAGGGCCGTTATCGCGTTCTATCGCGAACATATGCGGTCTCGCGCGGAGGCTGTGGTAACAGGGATAGGGGTATCGCCGTTCATCGTCTAGTAATAACGCGGTACCGACCGCCCAGCGCCGGCGCGTGCAGCGTTCTCGGCCTCCTCGTGTTCGATAATGTCGCGCCACGAGTGGTCGACGGCGCCGTGGTGTATGGGACCGTCTTCGAGAGCCTTCTTGCGTTGTGCGTGAGTGAGCGCACCGGCGGCGATAAGCACGCCGATGGTGAGGCCCTGTGCCCACATACGGGCTTGAACGATCTAAATGAGAAAGTGCGTCAATTTACTGTGGAAACTACTGAAGAATAAGATGTGTGTACCTTTTGAGGCAACGTCTGGTACTTGTTCCTCGTGATGATACCGAACGCAACCATCATGCTCGCAGCCCACCCGCCGAGGATGGCGCCGTATTGGTGACGCTGCGCAGTGTCCTTGATCTTCTCACCAACAGACATTTTGCGCCATCGCTCCTCCTGGCGAGCTTCGATCGTGTCGAGCTCTTCCTTGCCCGCACCAGACCAGTGTTCACGCTCAAAGCGCTGCCCCGCACGCTCGGCGTTGATAACGAAGGCTGGAACGACGACGATGATTACGCCGAACGCCTTGAGCGAAGGCGGAAGGGCGCGGTAGTAAGCCCATCGCTTGTTGAGTATGTAGGAGGCGGGGAAAGCGACCGCTGCGCCCCCGAGGAAACCAGTCGCACCGCCAATCATGGTAGCACGCTGCTGGGCATCCTGCTCTTCCTTGGAGATGATCTGTTTACGGCTTGGTCAATAACTTACAAAGATTTGGGAGGAACAAAGGAGACCGACCTTCATCGTGATCTAGTTGAGAGAGGAAGAGGTTTTGAGGGGTATGAGAGTAGACGAGAAAGTTATAAGTTACTGGGGACTAGTGAGGGGCTGGAGTACGGAGTGTAGACGTTATATATGATGTTACCGTACGCCTACTGATAGGGTTGGAATGACTTGACCCGGGATGAGATAGCAGTTGTCGGAAGAGGTCATCTGTGAATAGACTGCGTGCATCTTGTCTCCTTGCTGGTGGCTGTTCCGGTCCGTCTCTCGCTGGATCAACTCGCCGCCTTGCCCAGAGTGACGTCACTCGTACCGAAAGCAGTCCTTCCAAATCTAGCCCTTGCGTCGCACCTATCGGGTGAGCTCGGAAGCGTCACTACACGTCGGAACATATCACAAGTTAGGCAGCTTCTCTACGCCAGCTACCAGCGACCTGCCCCGCACCTTGAGAGACTCGGGTTGGGACGTGGTCGACATGGACACTATCGCTGCGCTTTGTGAATAGTTCTCACATCGACAGAGAAGAAAATGGAGTAGAAATAGCTCGTTAACATCAAGTTGAAGTACATGAAACGACAAATCGCGAATACCCTGAAGGGGCAAGGAGTTTGCTATGAGGTAATTCCCGAGCGATAAGCTGCAAAGTTGCTGCAGTTATCTTCATTTGGGCGATATTCGGGGGTTAGGAGAAAAGAGACGGGTATAGTACATTGCATACAATGGCTAGTGGACAGGTGAGAGAACGTATATGTACTGTTGCGCGGGTATCCTGCTGCTTGCGGAGACATGCACAAAAATGAGACAGAGTCAAGAGATGGGATGCAAACGACCAAAGATCGTCGTGTGAGATGAAATGAGATCAAGCGAGAGACTGGAGCAGATGGGCAGGTAGAAGTAGCATGTACAAAAATAGTCATGAATGGGGTTATGTGTCGTGACGGAGATAGAGGAGATAGAGGTAGGTAAATCAGAGAAAACAAATCGAGGAACTAGTGATCCTGGGATGTGGACAGGGTAATTGCGGTGCAGATCCACGTCGTGATGAGAACGCTGCTCTGGACGAGACACCCACGCCAACGAACCGCCTTCCTCTCGCCGCTTAACGGCGCACAACGCCTCGCCGCCGCTCTGCGTCCTCCAAAACGCTCTTCGGTCCGCGCCGGGCCATCGCCCACAGGAAGACCATCACGACCACCGCAAACTGCAGCCACAGCCACACCTCGAGCAGCAGTCCCGCGAAGCCCTCCCGCCGCGGCCGCGCCGCCATCACCTCCGCCGACAGGCTCACGTCGCCCGCGCCCTCTTCCCGCGAGACGTCCATGTCCGCTGAGAGCAGGCTCTTGTCGGGGTCCGCGTCCGCGTCTGCGTCGAAGGAGTCGCCGAAGCCCGGCCGTGCGCCGGACGCGATGGCGGACAGTGCGCTGTGCGAGCGCGAGAACTGCGCCATGATCGCCTCGAACGTCTCGTCCATGTCCATCGTGCTGTGGCGGGCCCCGTGGCCATGGCCGTGTCCGTGTCCGCGCAGGGCGCCGAGTGAGCGACGTTTTCGTACTGGGCGTCCAGGCCCGGAGCCAGAGGCGAATGCAGAACCGCTCGCGCGCACGCCGTCTTCCACGCCAAGTGTCCCGTATCGTCGCTCCATGCGCTCGACCCAGCGACTCGTCCGTGCACGCACCGTCTGTGACAGCCGCTGGTTCCTGCTAGCCCTGCCTTCACCCACGCGGCTGTCTTCTTCCAACAGCCCAAGTCCGAGGCCTGACATAGGCACGCGCAGTGAGCGCGCCGACCGGCTCGTGCGGAGCGGGCGGTTCGGGGAAGGCGTCGGAGGCTCGATGACCAGCTGCAGCTTGAACACGTCGCCGGTTCGCGTAGGCGTTGTACTCCCAACGCTTGCGGTGCTGTGCTCTGCCCTCGACGCGTTCCTGTCCTTCGCTTTCGCCTTCTGTGGGCGTTCGTCTTCTGAGACGTCCTCCCACCCAGACGATCCGGCGGGGGACGCAAGCTTCGGCGACGCAATGGGGGAACGTACCACAGGCGTCTCATCCGAGTCCGCAGAGGCCGCTGTAGGCGCAGTGGCAGTCGGCGACGTGCCATCGGCGGACAGAGGCGCAGCAACGACAGCAGCAGAAGCAGCAGAAGCGGCAATCGCGCTCTCGTTCCCCACCCCAGTGATGTCGCACAGGCTGCTCGTGCGCAAGTGGTAGTTCCACCGGCCCGTCTCCGCCGGCCAGTCTTCCATACCGAGCTCGCTCCCGAGCGTGTGCCCGTTGCGCGAGCCGGTGGGGAAGCGGTGCATGCTCGGCGAGGGCGACGGCACACGCGAGGCGGAGGGTGAGATGAGGAACGACGGCATCCCGGAGGCGGATGGAGAGCCTGAACGCGAGCGTGCGTGCAGTGCGAGCCCGTCTGTCGCGTCTGTCGACCATATAGAGACGTCGCCGTCTGCGTCGCCCGAGCCGTCTGCGCCCTTTGTCTGTGCGAGGAACGCCGGGGAGACACTCAGAGTCTTGGGGTAAAGCGGGTCCGCATCGCGCGCGCTCTCCGCGTCCGCAACTTCGACACCGTCGAAGAGGCCCATGACGGACTTGCGCGACTTGTGCCCGTGGTGACTATGCTCACGATGACTACCTGCACTCGTACCCGCGGGCTCACTGACCGGTAAACCCGCTAGCCGGCTCCGCGTCGTGCTCTGCAGCTCACGGCGGATGCCCTCCGCAAAGTCCAGCTCGATCTGCTCGCGGTCTGGCGACGTCGGCACGGAGAACACGCCCGAGGAGCTGCTCGTCCGGCTGAGGTTGCCGTCGATCGTGCGGCGCAGGCTGCTGAAGCGGATGGTGTCGCCCGTGGACTGGTGTTTCGTGCGCCGCGCGGGCGAGTCGTCCAGGGAGGTGTTCGCGTCGATGCTGTCGTCCGTGTCTGCCGGCTCGTCTTCGACGACGTGCACTTCGCGCTGTCCGTCGACGAGGCATTCGTAGGCGCGGCTGATACTCTCTGCATCCCATTGCGCGGCTTGGAGCCTCTCTGCTGTGGCTTTCTGGTCCGAGGATATCTGAGTATTGGTTTCCTCAAGCTCGCGGATCTTAGCTAGGAGTTGGGTAATGACAGCGTATTCAAGAGATGGGACGTGCGTAGTAGATTCTTGAGTGGTGGGAGGGAAATAG